ACAAGGGCAGTGGTAGAGCGCACTATGAACCCCACTCCCTGGGTTTGTTTCCTGGCCACGGATGGTATCTGAACCAGACTTGGCTGCCACACTTCGTCACAAATTCACATTGACCAGAATGGTGAAGTATGGACAAACAGCCACCATGACCGACACAGCGTGGCGTGACCTTCATTTAGAAATCGATTGACAAAAAGGTTTTAAGTCAAAATTGGTATGCATACAGTGAGGGAAAAAAGTATTTGATCCCCTGCTGATTTTGTACGTTTGCCCACTGACGAAGAAATGATCAGTCTATAATTTTAATGGTAGGTTTATTTGAACAGTGAGAGACAGAATAACAACAACAAAATCCGAAAAAACGCAAGTCAAAAATGTTATAAATTGATTTGCATTTTAATGAGGGAAAAAAGTATTTGACCCCCTCTCAATCAGAAAGATTTCTGGCTCCCAGGTGTCTTTTATACAGGTAATGAGCTGAGATTAGGAGCACACTCTTAAAGGGAGTGCTCCTAATCTCAGCTTGTTACCTGTATAAAAGACACCTGTCCACAGAAGCAATCAATCAATCAGATTCCAAACTCTTCACCATGGCCAAGACCAAAGAGCTCTCCAAGGATGTCAGGGACAAGATTGTAGACCTACACAAGGCTGGAATGGGCTACAAGACCATTGCCAAGCAGCTTGGTGAGAAGGTGACAACAGTTGGTGCGATTATTCGCAAATGGAATAAACACAAAAGAACTGTCAATCTCCCTCGGCCTGGGGCTCCATGCAAGATCTCACCTCGTGGAGTTGCAATGATCATGAGAACGGTGAGGAATCAGCCCAGAACTACACGGCAGGATCTTGTCAATGATCTCAAGGCAGCTGGGACCATAGTCACCAAGAAAACAATTGGTAACACACTACACCGTGAAGGACTGAAATCCTGCAGCGCCCGCAAGGTCCCCCTGCTCAAGAAAGCACATATACATGCCCGTCTGAAGTTTGCCAATGAACATCTGAATGATTCAGAGGACAACTGGGTGAAAGTGTTGTGGTCAGATGAGACCAAAATTGAGCTCTATGGCATCAACTCAACTCGCCGTGTTTAGAGGAGGAATGCTGCCTATGACACCAAGAACACCATCCCCACCGTCAAACATGGAGGTGGAAACATTATGCTTTGGGGGTGTTTTTTTGCTAAGGGGACAGGACAACTTCACCGCATCAAAGGGACGATGGACGGGGCCATGTACCGTCAAATCTTGGGTGAGAACCTCCTTCCCTTAGCCAGGGCATTGAACATGGGTCGTGGATGGGTATTCCAGCATGACAATGACCCAAAACACACGACCAAGGCAACAAAGGAGTGGCTCAAGAAGAAGCACATTAAGGTCATGGAGTGGCCTAGCCAGTCTCCAGACCTTAATCCCATAGAAAATCTGTGGAGGGAGCTGAAGGTTTGAGTTGCCAAACGTCAGCCTCGAAACCTTAATGACTTGAGGAAGATCTGCAAAGAAGAGTGGGACAAAATCCCTCCTGAGATGTGTGCAAACCTGGTGGCCAACTACAAGAAACGTCTGACCTCTGTGATTGCCAACAAGGGTTTTGCCACCAAGTACAAGTCATGTTTTGCAGAGGGGTCAAATACTTTTTCCCTCATAAAAATGCCAATCAATTTATAACATTTTTTGACACGCGTTTTTCTGGATTTTGTTGTTGTTATTCTGTCTCTCACTGTTCAAATAACCCTACTATTAAAATTATAGACTGATCATTTCTTTGTCAGTGGTCAAACGTACAAAATCAGCAGGGGCTCAAATACGTTTTTCCCTCACTGTATGTAAAGGTGCAGTCCTTGCATTCATGATTTCTGCTAGTCTTTCTGACTAAATTCCAGTTTACTGGAGTCTGGCTTCGAGGTTTTACTGTCATGTATATAATGTCCTGTGGTATCGATTCGTCTGCAACTGAAATTTTGTGGAGTCTGTGTGTAGAATTCACACTAAAAAAATGTATACAGCCTTTATCAATCGACTTGCTGGATGAAGGAGTCTGCATGGACACTGTCGGTTATGGGAGTTGTTTGACCATACTTCACCATACTGGTTAGTTCAAATTGAAGGGCAGAGAGCCAGGACTGATGCAGATAGCATTAGCCACTGATGTTAACCTTGGCCAGGAATTTAACTCATGTGGCCGTTTTAAAACATCCCAGAACTAACCTCTGCGCCTCTCCTACGCCCATAATTTACAATATATAATGAAATATTCTAAAGGTCCATGACTGTGATCCGTCTGTTTACATTTCAGCAACATGCAAACAGTGAATTGTAAAAGGCATACGCGCATGCTTAGGTAACTGAACACGTCCGACCATTTGAATGTATATGCCGTATCGAAAAATGCCGAAATGCACGTTGCCACGAAAAGCGTTCAAACAAGCTCCACTGCCACGTCCCACAAGCCTGGGGTCACCAGCTGCCACCCGCGTTACGGATTACAGTGACGGAGCCAGCCACGCGAATACATCCTCGTCACTGGCACCTCGTGCAGGCTCTTTCCTTTCTCAACAAGTGCGCATTTACACCGTAAAAGAAACAGAAAAACGCCTCTAAACTGTGTTGATGGGGGGGGGGGGGCGAGAGGGATTGCAGATTATGTTATCCACGCGGTTCTCCGAGATTTTACGCCACTTACATGCTGCAGAAATTTTGTTGTTGTTGCGTATGATAGGAAGAAGAGCTATGTAGATAATAGGAGATACAAAAACATACTCAATCTAATCATAGTTCCTAAATCACGGCAATATATTGACTCACTCAATCAATCAAGTCTTTATTTCTATAGCACTATTTCGTGCAAAGGATGCCATTCAAAGTGTTGTACAGATTAACAAAAAAAATGTTAAAAGACGAAATCACAAGAAGAATAAAATACATTTCCATACAAAACTAAATTGCATTTTAATACATTTCTGTCGAAGGAATATAACAACTAACACTATTAAATTATCTTAAGTAAAAGCAAGTTTAAAAAGATGAGTTTTTAAATTTAACTTAAAATTGCTTAATGATTGCAAAGCCCTCAGATCCCCTGGCAGGCTGCTCCACCCGAGGGGAACACGGTTCCCTCAACTTCAGATCCCAGTTTATAAACCACTGCACTAATTATGTATTTTATGCATTATAAGATGCACTTATTTCCCTGTATTTTAAAAGCAAAACTTGTGTGCGCGTCTTATAATCCGGCAGTTGTGTGGGACCGGATTTGTGTAACTTTATTGACACCGGGCATAGGTTTGGGGTGCGTCTTACTTCCTGAAGTGTGTTATAATGTGGAGAATAAGATATATTATCTATTTTTTTTATTTAAACTCTCGCGACTTCGTGCAATTTAACAGAGCGCTAATACACTATGTGCATCTATTAACAGAAACCTGAGAAAATGATTCCAAATGTTAAGGTTGCTTAAATACAGATTGCAGTACATTTTAAAATATATATCATAGATCATTATCATTGTTCTATTGGTGTCCTACTTATTCTATCGTTTGAGTGATCAATATAACCTATTCCATTGTTCTCATCAGTCCTATGCCATCACCTGAACAGAGACTGCTTACAATTGGCTAGGATCACTGCTTTTTGAAACCTTAACTGAACACACTATTTGCACTTCATACAAGAGAAAAAAATGGGCCATTGCTCATCATGTAATTTTATTTCACTTGACTGGCATTTAGATATGTGCTGATGCGTGGTCTCCTACTTGTGAAGCATTACAATTGTGTTCATTGCTTCGGCGTATTTTTTTTTTCACCCCGAAGGAACATTTTGGAGATATCGCTTCCAAGTGTCGGCCATAATGACCGACACTGATTCTGAAATGTTCCGCAATGTACTCCGCCGAGGCTGTGACATCCACAATACATTCCGTTGTGGGTGGGGGCGAGGCAGCATGCAATCGTTAAAACGTCGCTCGGCTAGCAAAGTGCTGGCACCACTCAGATTTCTGGGATCCAATCCGTGCAGCTGGCTGTGATTAAAACAGGTTCTCGATTGTAGAGAGTTGACTGATGGCAGTCCGGCCAACCCTTGCTTGCCATGCAACAAGCTTGAAAAGTAGCTGTTTTTGCTCAAATGGGCCTTAGCTGAAATAAACCGACTGACTTTACAAAAAATAAACTGACTACAACAACATCGATCGCATGAAATTCCGCTCTGCGCAATCAGTCAATCGTTACTTTAAAATGTACATTCGTACCGTGAATTTTGTACATTGTAACATTTTACAGCAGAAATATGATGCATTAAACTTCGTCAGCATTTGTAAAATGAAATGTTGTGCACATTATAATGTTTTTAAAATAAAAATCGTATCACGCGATCACATATGTGAAGGTGTTGCGCAGTGGTGTAGTAGTTAGCGCACTGCGCTATGAACACGGCGATCTGAATTCGATTCGTGACCATGGCTAACATCAACGATAAGTAACATCTAAACATATCTTGGGCTCATCCATCACCAACCTGCACTCACCAGCATGGTGAAGTATGGTCAAACCACCCCCATGGCCGATATCACAGTGCGAAGCTTCATTCAGCAGTGGATTGACAAAGGGCTGTAGATGATAATGCATTATTACATTATTTAGGAGTATGTTCTGCAAACAAAGACTCACAATAATGCATTCCAAACCAACCACACTCGGTGCCTTCTCGAATATGTCAGCAAGTGACCTAAACTAAGTATTCTGTGTAAACACGGGCGCAAACACGGCGATATTGTCACAAGCAGTACGAACACTGTACGAGTTTGGTTAGACACATAAATAAAAATCAGCGGCAGTCATGCAAAGACGTTGTGTAAACGAATATACCCATTATCGAAGAGACCTGGGTTTTTGATCCCACTCTAAAAAATATGGTTGCTGTGACCCCATGACCACTCTCATGTTCAGTGACGCAAGTGAACTGCGTACATCTCCTCTCTGTCGTATGGCTGCGTCAGTGGAATATATATACCCACCGCGGTTCACGCCATGCATCACATCGCTGAAAGCTACAGTTTTGATTGAGGCCCCGTCCGACAACAGGGCAGAAATGGCCTCGTTCACGCCAACATTGTTGGTGCTGTACCTGACAGCAGGATATGTTGCAGCTTTCCCTTTTTACCCACCCATGGGTGGCTTTACCGATCTGAACCCTAAAAGTCAAGACGTCAAAGATGTGCTGGATGAATTTATTGAGAAGACAAATGAAGAATCTGAAAACCCAAACTGGGAGAAGATAGACACGATCTTCAAAGTGAAGAGAGAGGTAAATATGTTTCTGCGTGGTTGTGGTTGAATATCAGAACGTTGGGGGCGGGGGAAATAAACTAAATGTTGATTAGATGATGTATTACGTTCTAAACATTTATTTATGTTTTCATCACCAACACAGGACCATCAAATACAGAAAAGGGAGGTTGGTCATCAAAGATTTTCCCACTATATTTCCCAAGCCACAATCTCGGAAAATAAGTGAAAGGGTTGGTGGGAGGATGGGGGGGGGGGAAAGAGGGATACGAATAGTAGCGGCTAATGGATGAAGGGTTGTGTGGCAAGGTTCGCGTGAAGGAGTCAGGTCGAGAGAGAACAAGAGGGGACCGTGTATTCGATGACACCGCCACAGCGATATCTGAGACATATCCTCAGGTGTTTAAAAGTGGAAACTTGAGGTTTCTTCGGTGAAGTCACGTAGAAGGGAAACAATAAAAATATGTTTTATTATAAAAAAATAAAAACAGATTTAAATCAAAAGTTTATTCGGTGGTCGAATGTAGGGAGTGACAATGATCGACCTTACTGTACATTGTTTTAAATAAAATATTTTGTTGCTCTGCCTAATTAACAAATAACCAATGTTTGATACTGTCCAATACTTTTGTAGGAAATCAAGTTTTTGAGCTTTTTATATATATATAAAACAGCACTTCTAATAATCGGCTTGAAAGTTAATTCACGTGTAAATGATGAGAAAACCCAGAATAATTAAACCACAAAAGGACACCTCTCAAAATTATTCCTATTCGCAGCAAACATCCTACTTGGGTTGTTTGTCCAATTCCGTTGTGAGAATTCTCATCACGTGGGTGTAGATCAGCAGCCCACCTGTTGCACTGCAAGCTCACTGCAAGTTGACGTCTCATGCATGTGGTGGCACACGCCTGTAAAATAATGATCTGCACCTCCGATTAGCACGGTTGGCTACTTATGGTACTAAACAAGGGCAACATACATACACACCACTGTGGAGACAGCAGCGAGGGTTGGTGGATCATAGAAAGATGTTGTGACGCTTTGTGAGCGTCAAGGAGGCGCCATACCCTGGCTCGCCAGGAGAAGGCAGTGCAACAAGTGGACTAATCGCCATCTGTTTCCATCTGTATGGTGAGAGGGCGTTGTCTCAGAGTCATCTGGTTTCCGCCCACACGTATAATAAACACTCGTCATTAATTGGCTGAAAACATCTCGATATAAAAACCCCAATCGAGGACCCTCCTGAAACAGAGTCCGATGACTCAGTTTGGCTTTCCTGGATGGATACATAAGTACTGTACATGATATTATACAAATCGCCGGATTGCTGGTGCTGTAGGTGTATGCCATCCCCACCTCGAAAGATGCTGATGGGCTCTGCAACAACCAGCACTGTTAAAGCTTTAACAGATTCATAGGTCACGTGTTTGTGCAGTTGAGCAAGGCCATGCAAACGGAGCGCAGTGCCAGAGATAAGCTGAGAAACTAGAAGTGTTTTGGCCTGCACTGCGGTGGCACTTGCACCCGTAGCTTCAAAATTATTCTCAAAATGTGATGCGCTAACGCATGTTTATTTCAGCCAAAGTATGTTTATAAATGAAGTAGCGCGTGTAACTAAATGTCTACAAAACTCGTAAACGACAAGAGGGTACGTAGATTGTTGCAGCTATTAGGATAAATCGTATTCTTGGTTCTTTCGGTAAAGTCACGTCGAAGGGAAACAATAAAATAAAACAATAAAATTCTCACGACGTTTCGACTGCAACACAAGCAATCATCATCAGGTGTGAAAACCACAGCAAGAAAATTGGTTTTCACACCTGATGATGATTGCTTGTGTTGCAGTCGAAACGTCGTGAGAATTTTATTGTTTTATATTTTTCTGATTTTATTGTTTCCCTTCTACGTGACTTTACCGAAAGAACCAAGAATATGAATCCCTGCAGTCACGAAAGCTTTAAATCAAAAGATAAATCGTGTTTGTGCTTATTGCCCTCTGTGTTGTAATCTTCTGTAAATGTCAGTGCATGTATAAGCGTGTCTTTGTACAATGCCCACTAGGCATGATTATTCTCTACGTGTGCTAAAATTGCCAACAGCCACTCCTGCTCTTTCTGAATGCTACACTTTGTGGTGGCTGTAAAATGTATTATTATTATCGTTATTTGGTATGGGGGAGAGTTGATCAGAAACGTGTATATGTTCATGTCGAGTCGTGGTTGGTGAGTGAGCCAGTGGACAGCATGGGGAGAAATGGACAGCTTCAGAAATGCTGCCAGCAAATGATAGAAGCAGGCCAGTGGCGTTCCTATGTTATGATACACACATCGACATACACAGACATTCATCGACTCGTATGCAGCGGTGTCACTATGTGGCCCGTGATTTGTGAATGGTGAGCACAGTGGTACTGTGGACTATTAACTTCCCATTGGTGTTAGCTGGATCTGCTGTTCAATGTCCTAATTCGGCTCAATAGAGACCATTTATGGGGTTGTGACGTGCTGCGCAAGTAGATAATGATGGTTATTGCGAGCTCGTAAACATGCATGCATGTGTGTATGTGTATATGTGTGCGCGTGTGTATGTGTGTGCGCGTGTGTTTGTGTGTGTGTGTGCACCTTTTCACAGTTCATCTATGAAATTCACTACAAGGCCACAGTCAGATGGCGTGAGACAGAATGCCCGAAAACCAAAGCGACAACTTATTGTGCCACCTACAATAAAACAAATGTTGGCAAGGTAACAATTAGAATTTCAGGTTTCGCGTTTGATTGTATCCCGTGGGCATGGTCTCCATCTACAACATCGTAAACACAGCACTCGCCCAGGGCCACCGATGTCGATAAACAAGAACCACACAGTGCTCCTTTGAGCATCGATGCAACATTCATTTGCAACCTTTCATTTTACGTAACAGATCAGAAATCAATTTTGCCTAATTTGAAATGAACAAATACCATCAAAGATGTACACAAAACTTGCAACGACACGAGCATAACATACAGCGACACCCGGAATGCTATGAAGCAGGCTTTGAGATGAAGTGTCTAAATAATTAATGTGTCTGTGGTTAAGGATCATTAAACACTTTTACAGTTCAAATTAACCATATTTCATCATAGAGCAAATATGTTGTCTTTAACTTTGCATTTTAATTTATAGTTCTAGAGGTTAAATTCATTCATTTAAATAATATCCTGGGATACAAACATATTATTAAGCTAAATAATGCATTGCTTCAATAAATGCAGATCGCTGGATGTTTTTTACGTTAAAAGCTAAACTCAATGTAATTAATTAATATATGGGAATACTTCTAGAATATTCGATTATTTATTAATAATCCTGCACAACATATTGGCAAACAATTCATTTCACAGAGAATTAAATGAATCTATAAATATTGATTTTAAACTTTCGTGACTGCAGGAATTCATATTCTTTGTTTCTTTCGGTAAAGTCACTTAGAGAGAAAAAAAAACATTAAAAAATATAAACATCAGGCGCCTGATGATGGTTTTTATAAGAATCAAAGAATATAATCTGTAAATAGTTACATATGTATTTCTTTGTTTATTTTTGGAGGCTCATCTGTGTGGTCATGGTACATTTTCCTGTCAGGTAGGAATATTCTACAAACCTAAATTAGCCAGCATAGATAAGTAGGGTAAAAAAAAGTTCCACAATCGTAGCGCAGCAGGAACCACCGCCCTTAACAGCCTACAACTTTGGTTTCACAAAATCATGATGTCGGAAGGAATGTTGAAGGATTAGAGGGTGTTGATAATTTAGCTCCATCTAATTACTGACAATTAAAATCTTGTGAAACTGGAGATATCATTGAGTAATATAATCTGGGATATAGCCATTAAACAGTGGTAATCTTTTCTGTCACAAAGGGAGAGATGAGAGTAATTATAGATGAGTGGATTTTTGGTCTCTCTGGGAATCAAACATAGTTTTAGAATTCAAGAATACCTCGGAAAAGAGACCTATGATATTTACTCACTTTTTACATGGAAATGAAACATCTCAACACTAAATTCCTCAATCCTTTCATTAAAAAAGGGAGACGATTTTGAAAACCATGAGCCTCCTATGACACGCATATAACTTATTTAGGAACATTATGAGGAGATGCATAATGGCCACATTAGAAGTCAACCAGCCGTGTGAGGAAGATGAATTTAGAAAAGAATGATTGATCTTCCATAGACAACATACATTCTATCACTCGGATCCCAGAAAAAAACACAAGCACCATTGTGTACACATCGGCACAACTACACATTGAAACAATCTAGACTCCATTTACCATTCAGCCTAATGTATAACCTTGATCAGAATTAGTTTGTCCATCAATGTTGAGGTTATAATTGTACTGGATTTCTTCTGATATTCATAAGAGAAAAATTGCACTTGCCCAAGTTTGTCTAAAAAGCAAAACTAAAACCCAACGACCCCAGGTAACTAAGTTGCCAACCCTACAGAAACAAAAAAAACCCTTCACATTTTAATGCTATCAATTTTTTGTCAATTTTAATTTGTCAGATGTTCCGCACACGTGGAATGAAATTGCATAATTGTTGTATTTCGCAAACATTCGTTGTGATTCATGTTTGACTAATTTAGTTATCTGATATGAATGCAAATGCTTTTGGAAAATATCTTAAAATACTCTGAACACCTTTTGAATTTGACTTAAGGTGGGCCCACACCAGAGTTGAGAGGAGTTACCCAACCAAATTGTGCGAATTAATTGCCTGCTCATCTGTGGAGATCTTTGATGACTGAGATGTCCAAGTATAAGGGATACAGTTGCATGCGAGTTACGCACCTGATTGATCTGGAGTTCGACCCGCCTTAACACTTCGACAAATCTTAATCTAATATGATATTTGTAGAGCACCTTCACTAAAATAGCGTTGTAAAAATTGTAAATGGTGTTCTTCTACATGTTCTATATCGGTTTTGTTTATACGCTATGATGTTTTGCCCGTTTGCCATATCTGTTTAAACCCAGATCTCCCTCACAAGAGAATGTTGGTCTCAATGAGCTCTTACCTGTCAACAAAATATGCAAGTGTGTGTAACTTGCAGAACATGTTCATATAAACAATCTCTTTATTGCTTTTTCAGTCCTACATCTGCGACCTGGATATCATCTTGATGCCATGGAAAAACTATTTCTCATTTTCCAAGTCCTGCTATTAAACGCGCTTAGTATGGTAACTCATGAGACAGCATCATTAGCCTGGGCTGCTCACTGCGTCATCACTGCTCATTTTACTGGAAGAGGTCTCCCTTGAAATAGACTCCTGCTCTCAATGGGTTCATACCTGGTGTAAAGGTCTACTACTTTACTATATTAGTTTATACATGCTAGTTGCACGTGCTCTTTGAAGTCTTCCATGCCAGACCAATAGTTCAATTTACTATAACTGGGCGACCAGCTACAGTATGCCAAATTGTTCCATACTGACACAACATTACCTCGGGGACTTAAAGAAGAATCTTTAAAACAATTAAAAGAAGAGGAAGAGTAATACAAGTTTGAATTGAAATTAACTGAGCAAACCAACAAATCTGCCGACCCAGCAAAGCTGCTCTGTCCTCTTTGCAATCCATTGGACGAAAGTAATGACTGTGTAGATGTCTGTGACTACAGGTCATTCTCCACATGCATAGTATGACCAAACCGAAAGAATATCTAAGTCAACCCCCTGCGAAACCTCCAAGTGACTTCTTGACCGGAGAACGATACAGATAAGCAAACCATTGCGATTAGTCTGCAAGATGTTTGTTTTTTTGTATTTCACCAACGATTAATTCCTCATGAAATTAGGGAATAGAGACGATGCAATGAAATTAATTCTGAGAATGTGCAATAAAAATGTACTCCAAGCGTTAAAGAGTGAACAGAAAGCCAGATACGTTAAGATCAATTGTGAGTTTTAAAAAAATATTATTTGGCATAACCAAGGGAGTTCAGTGTGTTTTAAAAAATACAATTTTCATTAAATTAACTATTATAGCTGGGTCTGGCATTTTGATTAAATCACTATTTATACCTAGCCAGCCTAAAAGCATGGTTTTGTGCTAGTTGTAATGTGGTTTTAATGACAAATGACCTACCACATATGATTTTCCTTGTGTTACTGAGGATTAGCAGTGACGGACAAGGTGACATTTTAGGCGATGGATGTTAAGCTATGAAGGAGGCTCATTGTCTGAAACATTGCAGATTACTGATATTACAAAAAAACACACATACCCATATATTTGTTCAAGAAAAAAATCGACACGTTAATGAACGCCGCTCTAAAGACGAAAATATGTAATAGGCGACGTTTAAGACCAAAAGCATTATGCTAAGCATATACAATATATATCGAATATATGGGTGTGTTAAGTTTTATGTAAATTGTTTGTGAAATTGTTGCAATTGTTGTAGCAAGCCATGCACTAAACAAAGCTAGAATGTCCATGCATCGTGTAGGAATTAGGTGTGTATATGTACAAATTTTGTTCTTTCTATACAGTACTGTAAATGTTTATGGGGGGAAATGTGAAGCAAAAATTTACTAATACACTTATGACACAACGCTCAACATTCACATACATGCATTTTTACAAAATAAATCTGAAAATACAAAAACTGTTTCTCAATTCCATTTACTATACTTTAGTTTTCCAAAAAAATATTCATTTTGAGAAATATCTTAACTTAGAGCGACTAATTTATTACTGCTCTAACGTAATCGAGTACATTACAAACAATTTTGCAGGATATTCTTGGGTCTTTCGGTAAAGTTACGTAGATAGGTTCAAAGAAAATAACAAAAGTAGGACAAAAAGCAGCCATCACTTAAACTGGTTTAACTTGCTAAATTATCATGAAAATGAAAGGTTGATTATTGTGCATAGATAAAAAAATGTTTGGTCTTTTTTAGTGTCATTACAATTGTGCTATTGGATTGTCATGGAATATAAATGAATACTGTAGTTCAACCTTTTACATATATCCTTTTGCAATGATTAAACACACACATTCTTAAAGATGTCTTTCAGGTTTTTTAAAATTTTATTTTAACCACCAGTCATATATTCTTGGTTCTTTCGGCAAAGTCACGTTGAAGGGAAACAATAAAAAATATATAAAACAATACAATTCTCACGACGTTTCGACTGCAACACAAGCAGTCATCATCGGGTGTTCGTGTTGCAGTCGAAACGTCGTGAGAATTTTATTGTTTTATATATATTTAATTATTTTATTGTTTCCCTTCAACGTGACTTTATCGAAAGAACCAAGAATATGAATCACTGCAGTCACGAAAGCTTTAAATCACCAGGCATATGTTAAGTATAGCGGGTAACACATTCATTCGTGCACTTCACTATGAACCCGGCACCCTGATTTTAATTCCTGCCCATGGCAAACGTCAGTGGAGAGTGCTATCTGAACTGGTCCTGGGCCCCTGTCCACTAGCCCACACTGACCATTGTCACGAAGTACTGCACGTATAGTGTATTGTCAAACAACACCCAAGATAGGCCTTCGTCCAGCAGTGGATTGACAAAGGTTTTAAAGCGTCAACGTAGAACTGATCGTAATACTGCATATCAATTAACTGCTGGTTAGGGACCTCATCGTGCTGAGCAAGTCGTGGCGGTCATTTTACCATGCTGTACAGTACTTGCCAATGTTGGTCAGTGCAGTGTGGACCTGGGAACATAGAAGTGTAGTCCAACGTATTTTGTCGCACTACCCTCTGCTGTCCACCATCTAGCCCCGTAGTCTATGACAACTTGCGTTTTTTATAGATGGTAGTCACCTATCCAAGCTCAACCGTACTTACTCTCGTTTCTGAGATTTCGTCATCGGTGAAAATGAATAGAGGACACTGGTCTGGACAGCACTTGCAATGAATACATTGTGCAATCATTCGGGATGTTATTTATTTTCGGGGGGGGGGGGGGGGGGGGGCACTGCATGTTGATGCACGAATGAAGGGACTCTGTGATCCAAATGTTGCAACTTTGATCACGAAAAATGGAAAAACAAGCACCCGAGGAGGATTCGTTATTTGATGTATTCCACCAAGGTCGTGATTTATCTCTGTGGCAGCCACGCCACATGTTTCAAGCTGGAGCCACACCGATTCCCTCAAAGTAATTTCAAGCGGAGTGATAAATGTGCCTTTTTGTGTAAGTTACGTGTCAAAAACAATAATCACTCTCGCTTATGTGTCTGCTGGAAACGATGATAAATACTTTGCCAATGGCAGTGCACGACATGTTTTTCTGCCTTTGCACTTTATATTTGAATGCAATTGTATTGCATTCAAATATATTGCATTCAAAGTGTATGTTCGTGCTATGGAAGGTTATGGCAAGATGCAGGATTATAAATAAATAATATTGTTCTGGAAGGATGCACATGTAATAAGTAATTACATTGAGGTTTAGCTTTAAAAAAATCAAACGATCTGCATTTACTTAAGCAAGTCATTATGTTGCTTCATAATATTTATGTCTAAATTTATTATTTAAATGAATGCATTTAATCTCAAACTATTCATTAAAATGCAAAGTTAAAGACATACAATATATTTCTCTGTAATTAAATTACTTATTGGAACTGTAAAAGTGTTGAATAATCCTTAACCACAGAGAAATTAATTCTATAGGCACTTCATCTCACAGCTTGCCTAATAACCTTAAGGGTATTACTGTATGTGACGTTGCAAGTTTGTGTACAGCATAAATACAAACGGCCAAGGTCATAAAACAAAGTTTTGCTTCATATCTGGAGATGCATTAATGCACGCTTGTGAATATTTGTGCTGCATCTTTCTATTCTTACAAAATCTGTGACATGATTAGAACCTATTACTTATTAATTTCCTAGTTATTGTAAAACTCTTATTGACCATATAAAGTCCAGTATCTGTAGAGTTGCTCTCCCAAAATCTGAACCAGTCACGGAAACGCTGCATCCTCCATCACCAGCCTGCTCTGACCAGCGTGGTGAAGTATGGTCAAACAAGACTCATGACCCGACACACGACGTGGGGAGGCCATAATCCACCAATCGTTTGACAAAGGGCTGTAGATTATAAAATTATTAACAATTAACAATCTTTTTGATGGAGCTCACATCTCTAAACACAAACAAGGGTTCTTCAGAAAATGTTTTAGAAAATGTTTTAATTAAACATGTCACTCTGTTGTTAGTTTCGTCCACCTGCCATGAATAACTTAAAAGTATAAATACAAATGTAATGGATATGGTGCACAGTGCTACGAAGTGTTACCGAGTAGAGACTCATATCAGGAGGGTCTTGCTTAGGATGCGCGTAGTGTTACCACCTGTCTTGACTTTTCCAAGACCTTTCTACTCCTTTGTGTATTAATACACAACTAATCATACACAGCTAATAATACACAACTAATAATACACAACTCAAGACAATGCATTTAGATCTACTTCTATCCTGATAACAGTGTAGCGAGATATTATTTTCTACATATTTTCTCGTTGTTTTGTACCTCAGAGGTAACACCTTCGATATTTGGCCAAACTTTTGTTTTTTTTTTACGTGGAAGGAAACCAGTGTGAATAAAGAAAAAGCAATGCAAGTGAGGGGAAAGCAGTCAAATTGTCGTTCTTCCACACAGGCACCTCGTTGCCCTGCTAGTGCAGGTTATCAAACGCAATGCAGTATCGTGCATGCCCATAACTCCATCTCTGCACGACCCACCAACCCTCAATAAAAGTTCGTAACAATACGCCAGGGTACAAGTCCTTGTGATACCCATAGGTAACTGTGTCAACCATTTCTTGCCATTTTCCAACAGCGCCCTTCCCAAATACTTCTGCGCAAATATACAACAAAGGTACCTTTCAACTACAGCATTCCAAGGATTCTATGTCCGTGATATAGACGCCTGCAGCAATGTTTATAAAGCCTGCTAGCACCTTGACGGAAAGGGGACAAAATTATAAAAATCTTGAACGTTAACAGCTCGGCAAATGTGCCAAAAATATGAAGCCGATGCTTAAAATGGTGAGGCCACGTGTAGTATATTTAAATGTATATAATTGCTATCTGCTAGTAGTAATATTACATGAAGTATGTTGCTGTTTTGGAATTTATTGCATGACAGTGTATTTAATTCTTTGCATGTAAGTCTTCTTTTTCCTGGAATTTTCTCCACTTATTTTGGGTATGCCTTCCTGGGCCCTCTCTATCCACTCGTGCCTGTCCTGGGCCATCTCCACATCTTCTCAAGTCCTGCATGTGCCCTGGGTTCACCACTTCAAACAGCCCCTTTCCACTTCGGCCTCTCGGTCTCCACCCTGACGTTTCCTTGTGCATCACCTTGTATCTGATGCTGTTTTTCTTTCTCATGACACGTCCTAGCCATAAATTCGTACCAAAACTCTTGCTACCGACAATGCTTATAAAATATTTGCCTAAAAATATAAATCCGTGCCAAAGTGTGCAGTTATTTCCCCACTAGTAGCTTTAGTTTTTTTGGTACATTACTGTGATTAAGTAACACAAAACTAATAGATTTGATACCACTGTACAACATAAAAAGTGCTGCAAGCTAATAAATAATACCACATAGTTTTTAAACTATACTCATTACACTGGTCAGTGCTGGATTTAAAGGTGTGCACCACCACTTCCAGGCTGATGAAAAATATTGTCCTGTAATGTCTGTGGTAAGTACTTGTATTGTACGATTGTAAACTGTATTCACTCTAGCACATGGAGACACATTGATTTGAATGTGCCTCTCAACTTAAAATAGCAAATGCATAACAAGTGGAACGTGCTGAAATGTTTCAGCAAATTCAGATACCTATTTATAAGGTCATTATCGGCTTGACCACTTACAGTGTAATTACGGCTTGACCACTTACAGGGTAATAACTTTGACCATTTTAATTGCATCCGACATTCATGTTAAGCTGAATGACGTAGGTGTGTGCGTGTGTACTTGACGGGGAGGTTTGACTTTGAAAGCAAGACTCCTCCCATAGAAGTTGCGCTTCATTCATTTTGGTGCAGTGTCAGGAGGCATGCCTCCATTTTGGAACAAAAGGTCAAAAAGGTCAAAAATCGAAATGTCTTCACTTACCCGAGTGCTGTAAAGTTTGATGACTGTCGCCATTCTTCCGGATTTACACAATTGCCTGGTGGTGTTAGCAACGCTGCAATTAAGATATTCTTGGTGAAACCCATGGAAAAGATTACATTCATTTTAGCAACGGTCTCGACTGGGAAAAGGTGGCCCTAAATATTGACAGCAGAGAGGGTTTTACAAATACACAATTGTACATCATCACATTAGTGTACATTAGTGGCTGGGGAACACATTGACGTGTTTGTGTGTGTTGTAGCAGGGTTGTGATATTGTTATATCTTGCACAATAAAATGTACCAGTATTGTACACATATACTACAGTACTGTACTCTATGATGCTAAACGAACACATGTAAGCGGTAACGTGCTGTGACTTTACCTATTCGTTTAGCCGGAAAGTTATTCTATGGTTTTCACTACTCTACATCATTCTGCTCGTACTTTCAAAATGTTTTGTTAATTGATAACGAAGCTGATAGGATCACAATTCCCTCTGTCAACACTCTTGCAGCCGCAATTTCTGATACTGACATGAACTAAACATGTCAGGCTTCTAACATACCCATTAAGCAGACACATTCTGCATATTCAAATAAAATGGCCCCACCAAAATCGGGGTAGGGTGAAGCTTTAGAAAGCTGAAATGTGTTACAAATGTGGTGGGGGTTCATGCTTTTACTTTAGCGTCTTAATTTGTATTTAACTTGTCCCCCCCCCAAAAAAAAAAAACGGGGGAGGTGAGGTAACTCGCATTTCTAGAAGAGCTGAGATTTTCAACGAAAGACACACTTTAATGTAACGTTGAGGTCAAAAGAACGATTTCTGTAACGCAATGAAAACTTATGAAAGTTATGAAAACAGTTAAGTGGATATTTTTGTGATCAATCTGTGATTTTCTGATGTTGCGCTGTCACTCCGTCTAGTTCATGCCGTGTTTACCTTCATAATACACCTCTTTTACTGTATTTGTAAAGTAATGTAATAGCACAACGTGTTGGGCCCGAAACTATGTTTTTAAAATATGCTGCCAACTATTGAATAATTATGTAACATAATTTTAGGCCAAAGTTAACTGCAGTATGTCTCGTCTTTCTCTGCGGGGTACTTGCGCTACTGAGAAAGTACTGCGTGGTAAACCGGAGTTGTCTTCAGCACTTCTATGCCGCTATTAGATGCGAATCGTACGCGCCGTGAGCACAAGCAGACACATTCATTTGACAAGAGTTAATTTCACCGGTCAAAGCCTTCCTGGTTACGTTTGACAAAAAACAAGTCCCACGGGTTTGAAAAGTTTGAGCAAACGCGGGTGGCTTTTTGTAATGTCACACCTCGTCCGTCCACATATTTGTTACTGGGCGTCTTGATGTTATCAGACTCGGCAAAGTCAACCGGCTGACGTGCGCCTACGACGCGGCGCTGTTCCAGGAAGGCTCCGTGGCTTTAGAGCACTAAAACCCCCACGGGCTCGCGCTCCGCACTTTAAAAAAGGGGCTCTTTCATTTCCTGTAATAACACGACGACGACCAAAACACACCACGAGCCCAGCAAAGGCGAGCGAACAATCCGCCCGAGATGCCTTCGCTCGCTCGCGTGATGCTGCTTTGCTTCACGGTGGCCGCATTCGTCCCCGACTTAACACAGCAGCAGCAGGGCGCCTCCACACAGCAGCAGGACGTCTCTGTAGAGCAGCAGGACGTCTCTGTAGAGCAGCAGGACGTCTCTGTAGAGCAGCAGGACGTCTCTGTAGAGCAGCAGCCACAGCTGCTTGGAGGCATCCTGCCCATCGGCGTGGACAACGCCGAAATGATGATGCTGCTGGACAAGGCCCTGGCGAAGATCAACGCAGAGAGCGACGGCGACACGTGGGAGACTGTGGACGAGATCTTGGCGGCGGAGAGGCAGGTTCGTGATGCCGACACACGTCGGCTGGTTGGTTGGAGAGAGATTGTGTACATTGCCAGGCGCGTGTGTCTGTGTGTGTACACACGTGTGTGTCTGTGTCTATGTGTGTACATTGACAGGCGCGTGTGTCTATGTGTGTGTACACACGTGTGCGTCTGTGTGTCTATGTGTGTACATGGACAGGCGCGTGTGTCTGTGTGTGTGTACACACGTGTGTGTCTGTGTCTATGTGTGTACATTGACAGGCGCGTGTGTCTATGTGTGTGTACACACGTGTGCGTCTGTGTGTCTATGTGTGTACATGGACAGGCGCGTGTGTCTATGTGTGTGTACACACGTGTGTGTCTGTGTCTATGTGTGTACATTGACAGGCGCGTGTGTCTATGTGTGTGTACACACGTGTGCGTCTGTGTGTCTATGTGTGTACATGGACAGGCGCGTGTGTCTATGTGTGTACATGTGTGTGTGTCTGTGTGTCTATGGGTGTGTATATGTGCACATCGACAGGCGTGTGTCTGTGTGTGTACATGTGTCTGTGTGTCTATGTGTGTGTGTACATGTGTGTGCATGTGTGTCTATGTGTGTGCATGTGTGTCTATGTGTGTGCATGTGTGTCTATGTGTGTACATGTGTGTCTATGTGTGTACATGTGTGCAAAACAACCCGCTACCTCCTCGCGGTGCCGGACGGGCAACTCTGTCGTGGACAGTGCTGTGGGGGGAGGAGCCAATTCCGATTCCGATTGGCTCCTCCTCCCCTCATGGCGTCTGTAACCGCCACAGGGGCTAAACAGGGTCTCTGGACGGGAGCGAGGGGCTGGTAACCCCTCCACCTTCAATAAATTACCACTAAACCACGAATACAATATGTAACTAATAAGCTTGTGCCGGAGGCCCCGGGGGGACAGGCGTCTATGATGTCTCCTGGCCAAACCCCATTTGGCAGAGCCAGGAGATTGAATCTCTACCCTCGGGTCTCCTCCAGAAAAAACGAAAAGCCACTACGGATGGCCACGTGGAATGTTCGAACGCTCACTGCGGAGGAGAGGCTGCCACTGCTCTGTCGGGAGCTGGACCGGTACCGTCCGGATCTCTGTGGCATTCAGGAGGTCCGGTGGACCGGTTCTGGCTCCTGCCACCATGAGGGGTGGACAGTCCTCTACTCGGGGCAGGAGACTGCCAAACAACAGGGTGTGGCTCTTTTTTTGAACAAAAGAATGAAGGGGGCGTGGGAGCGTGGCAGTGAGGTGTGGGAAGCTGTAAGCCCCAAGCTACTTTGGGCTCGTCTTCCCATCAACCAGAGGCGAGGAGTGGTGGTCGTGGTTACTTATGCCCCCACCAAAGACGAACATCCGTGGAGGGAGGCAAAGCCGATGAGTCAGATGCCTTCTATGACCTCCTGTCACAGGTGCTGGCTAAAGTGGCCCCTCGGGATAGAGTCATCTTGTTGGGTGACTTTAATGCCCGAGTTGGTCATGATGCTGGCACCTGGTCTGGGGTGATTAGAGGGCATGGGCCAGATCAGCTCAATAACAACGGTAGGAGGCTGCTAGATTTTTGTGCAGCCCATGGGCTTGTAATTACCAACACGCTGTTCCGGCATCGGCGCATCCACACAACATCATGGATGCATGCCGGGTCCAAGCAAGAACATCTGCTGGACTACATAGTGACGGACCAGCGGATGCGAGCCCATGTCCTTGACACCAGGACCTACCGTGGAGCTGACCTGCCCTCTGACCATCGACTAGTCATCTGTAAGATGCGCCTGCCATTCTTCCACTCCAGCGGTGGGTGTACTCCCAGGACCCCATTCCAACCTAAAGTGGCCTGGTCTCAGTTATCTGATGAAAGTTGCAAGCGAGAATTTCATCATCGCTTGCGGCTGTGGTTGGCATCGTCCCCCACTCCTCCTGATGTCGAGGGTAAATGGGCGAGGTTTAGGACTGTGACTCATGCAGCTAAAATGGCTGCTTTGGGTACGCGGTCCAGACCTACCCAGAGACCATGGCTGACAGAGGAGGTGTTCAGGATGGTTGAGAAAAAGCGACAGGCCCACTGTCATCGGCTACAGAATCCCACGTCAGAGAATGAGGAGGCTTACCGCAGCCTTCGCTCGGAGGTTCGGAGAGCCGTGAGGTGCTGCAAGGATGGGTGGTGGTCGCGGGTTGCTGAGGAGGTGGAGTCTCCTCAGTGGCCCGCGATCACAAAACTCTATTTAACTCCATCAAAAAAGTAACCTGCAGCGCCACACCTATTACCATCATTAGGGGAAAAAACGGTGATCCAATCTCCGACCCCCAGGAACAGGTTTGCAGATTTGCTGAGCATTTCTGTGAAGTCCTGGGGGAGGGAAAATCCCTCAGCCAGGAAAACATTGTGGCACAAAGTGAGGATGACCCTGCTGAGGCTGCGGTGCCTCAAATATTGGAAGAAATCACCCCATGTGAGTGGCTGGCTGAAGTACCATCTGTTGAGGAAGTACTGAAGGCGATCCGGAGTTTGAGACCAGGAAAGGCAGCGGGCAGAGATGATCTCCCAAGCGAAATGCTTAGGGAGGGTGGCGTTTGTGCACAGTCTGCCCTATATGACATCACAACAACAGTCTGGACCACTGGACGGGTTCCGCAGGATTGGAAGGATGCCCTGGTGGTCCCCCTCTTTAAGAAGGGGGACCGCACAGACTGTAACAACTATAGGGGCATCTCACTCCTCAGTGTGCCGGGAAAGGTCCTGGCAAGGATTATTCAACATCGCCTTGCCAGGCACGCTGAGGAGAGGCTTGCGGAGCCACAATGCGGTTTCAGGAAAGGGCGGTCCTGCACAAATGCCATATTTTCTGTCCGTCTGCTGCAGCAGAGGTGTAGGGAATTCCAACAAGACCTACATCTCTGCTTTATTGACCTGGTCAAGGCCTATGATACCATCTGTAGGCCTGGGCTCTGGGTTGTTCTTCGTGCTTTTGGAGTCCCTGACCCTCTGCTCACGATCATTAAGGACCTTCATGATGGTGAGCGGGCCCGGGTAAAACTACGTGGCCGGGAGTCAGAGCCATTCCCTGTACACCTTGGGGTGCGACAGGCATGTCCTCTGGCTCCCACATTATTTAACATCTATTTTGACCACGTAGTTCGTGAAGCCTTCAATAGCTGTACCGGGGGAATCTCCATTTGGTACAGATATAATGGGAGGCTGATCGATGCCTGGGTGCGGTCAAGGGATGGCTCCCTATTGCTCAACCACGTTATGTATGCCGATGATTTGGTAATAGCTGCTCATTCAGAGGAGGAGTTGGAGACGCTGCTGCTGAGACTGGAGCGTGCCACTAAGAGATGGGGCCTTACCATCAGCCCCACCCAAACTAAGCACCTGCCTGGGTATTTTGAACCATCGGACACTCCACCCCCACAACTCCCAATCGGTGATGGGGCAGTTGTGGAGAGAGTGGAGAGTTTCCCATACCTGGGCAGTGTGCTTATGACCGGCTCCAGTTTAACAGCAGAGGTCTCACTCCGAATCAGTCGAGCGGCAATATCTTTTCATCGGTTGCGTAACGCTGTGTGGAAGCTACCTGGTCTGTCACTCCGCACTAAGCTTCAGGTCTTCTCGGCCACGGTCATTCCCTCCCTTCTATACGCTTGCGAAACGTGGACCCCCTTAATGGAGCATCTTCGCCGGTTGGAAACATTTAGGCTGGCCTGCTTACGGTCCATCCTGGGTTTAACCAGGCTGGATTGTGTGAAGAGCTCACAAATCCTTGAAAGATCTGGGCAAGGTCCCGTCGGTGAGCTCCTCCGGCAGGCAAGGCTGCGTTGGCTGGGTCATGTAGCCCGCATGCCTAGCCACCGCATGCCGAAACAGCTTTTGTTCGGCCGGATCGAGGGGGCTAAATGGGCGTGGCACGGGCTAGAGAAGAAATGGAGTGATGTGGTACAGGAGGACGTGGAGCTGAGTGGACTTGCCGATGACTGGTACCAGCGGTGTCAAGATCGGCCTCTGTGCAGGAGGAGGCTCGTGAAGGACGCTACTGGGCAGTTGGAGGCAGTCGCCCTCCAACAACAACGGAGGGCGGAGGAGCGACGCTCACAACAACGAGCGGAGCGCCGGGTGGCTAAAGCACAACAAGTTGGCACAGTAGGGGACACAGGTGGTGCATCAGCCAGTCATCTCAGTCGTCTCAGTCGGTCGACCCGTAGCACTTGCGGGGCCTCAACGTGCACCTAGCGAATGGTGGTTGTTGTTGTTGCACGGGATTTCGGCATCTGTGCGTGCAGGGGTGGGCAGGGAGTTGATTTGTGCCCACCACCTCTTGTCCCGGTATTGCGTTGAACCTTTGTGGTATTCGTCTACGTACTCTAACAGTATTGAGAGGCCCAGCCTTATTAGCGTGATGTATTTATATATCTGCGTTTGTGTTACAGTGAGAATGGTGGGAACCCGAGATAGAGAAGTGTTTTGATATACGATCAGATTAACCGGTGTGTTTTTACGCGTACTGAACTGTATACTGCATGATTGTATCGTCTGGTATTTTGAATATGAATGTACAGGAATTTGGACTGGGCCTACCTCCGATCAACACCACACCCTATATAACCTCTCGAGTATATTAGTGACTGACGTGTCACTGTAATAATTAAGAGACAATCACAATAACTTCATTAAAGCTGTGTCAGCCATAATTGTGCCTTTTATGAGACCGTACAGTACTGCAATGTTCCAATAACTTAATGGAAGGGCCCATCAAAGGCGGCTCAATGGGTCGTAATGGCCGCATTACTCTTTGCATGCTGTTGCATTATGGACGTTCTTTACTACATACAATGCACTCAATGTGTCATGTGTTTTGTATGTTACGGTAAAGTGAATGTGTGAGTGGAGTGGTTGCTGGTGTGCATGTGGCTCTGCAGTATGTACATGTGTACAGGGTGGCTCAGATGTATTGTGACCTCTCCAATTATTTGACCCCTAACATTTTTCCTTTGCATATTAATGTCTCTTTTAAATGAACCTTAAAATGTTAAGTTCTAGAGAATGCAATGGGGGGAGGGTCACAAGACACCTGGACCACCATGTACTGTATGTTGAACTTCTTTCGCACCGTACGTACCCCTACCGCGCTAATCGGAGGTGCAGTGTGCCAGTAGCATGCTCCAGTATAAGTCTATCGATGCATTACCTCTAAACCATATTTATTTTTTTACCAGGTTATCAACGGAATCCGCTATGCGGTCAAAGTCCAGCTGAGAGAAACAAAATGCCCCAAATCTGAAGCCCTGGAAATCTGCGAGACCGCCACTGACACCAACATCGGAAAGGTGCAGTCATTTTGTATAACTAAAGTGCAAGTACGGCACAATTCCATTGCATTACTAAATAAATAAATACACTCAAGTTTAATTTAGGTGGTGAATACGTTACCACCGATGTTTCCAATACAACAGTAGCATCAACTGCCATGTAAAAATGCATAACGGGTCACGTATTAGACAATTAAACAAATTCCACATTTGTCATTCGCACTGCATGACAGTAGAACAGGGGAGGTGGGGGAGATGCGGTCGCCGTGCCAATGCAAATGTAGAGGTCGCTGGTTTCGATCTCCCCGCGTGGCAGTTAAGCCAGAGGTGCATGCTACTTAAATGCACCCCCCGCCTCTCTTTCCCAGCAATATCAGAATCAGCACCTTTATTTTTTTACTGGAGGAATCCGATGAGCTATAAAGCTGTTTTTCTCTTCACGGATGTCCAATATGAATGGGTACTCCACAGTTTCCCATGTGGTGGGGTAAAGTGTGGGTACTCCCACACCTGTCAAGGCGTTTGGCCAGTGTATAGCGAGTAGGGTAATTACCCCCTTGGGATACTGTCCAGAGCTCCATCTTAGAGGTCCTTCCACCAGCAGGAGCACGAGCAAGCAGTTTCAGAGGTCCACCTCTACCTTTCATAATGGAACTAGGTTTATTATAAGGCAATACATTATATAGTGTATTGTAACAGGGAAACATCTCAAACATAACTCTTAAAATGAACTGTATTTGTGGTCATTGTTGAAAACAACCTACCGCTGTAAAGTATATATTTCTATTTAAAGGAAATGGTAGTGGCGAACATTGTCAAATTGATTGTGATCTTGTCCTGCAATTGAACATACATTTTAACTTTTGTGTGTGTATTGTTCCAGACCTCCATCTGTATTGTGGAAATGGTTGACCGACCATGGGATCCGGAACTGGAAGTTGAGAAGATGTGTAATTTAGACAACATGAATTAACTTGCATTCTGTCGGCATCATGACTTCATGAGCCATACACCACTGCACAGGCTATGATAATCACATGCTTTATATTCCAATTGCAATTTCTGAACATTTTGTACCATTACCCCGACAACATTATAAGGGTCTTCCTTATCAGTAATAATACAAATTTGATTCACTTTTAAATTAAACTCTGATGCTTAAACATTTTTGTTATTTTAAGTGGTATGGTAACTTCGGTTGTGGGGATGCCTTCAGCAGTGCATTGATCATGGCTGATGATGCTGCTGACTGATACGCCACCATATCGTGCATAGTGGCAGGAACTTGATGAAAATATAAATATTGGTTTTAATTGTGCTGTACTTATTGTATCCTGTAATTTTTGTGTAATCATACTTCATCCAGAATGCGGAAGCCTTCTTCCAGAAGCGAACAGACAAAGGGCTGTGAAATCAAAAATCTTGTCCAAAACATAACACCAGAGGCGTTTGGACAGTACTGTGTCTACAGTATATGGTGCAAATACCAAAAGTACTAATATTGTGGAGCATGTGGAATCTTCAATGGCTGTAGGGGCCATATGAAAAAAAATCCAAAATGTCTTACAACCCTTTGTTAATCCACTGCTGGATGAATGCCCCATGACATGTTAGTTTTGGGGGCTGCTTGAAAATTGAAAATATTGTGAGTATAAATGCAAGAATGTACTTAAAAATGCGTTTTTCCCACAACTTGATTGGCATCATGTTATTTTATTGTTTCCCTTCAACGTGACTTTACCGAAAGAACTAAGAATATGAAGTGTCCTGTTGGATTTCTCGCAGAGCATTGTAACCCATATTGTTTCAAAACATCCCATGGAAGTGGATATAGAGCTATCTTTGAGATCCCTTCATTTTAACTGATCCACAGAGTAGAGCTCTTTCTCACCACTCTCCCATACGAGAATAATGTTTATCATGACAGTCAAGCCGATATATTCTACAGTATTTCAATTCTATTCTCAGATCTAGAATTTATCCAAATTAAGTGCAAAACCAAGTTTGATTTGATGGGTTTTTTGCATGTAGGCAGTCATTGGTGACCGGTATCGCTTAAGTTCTCAATATTTTCTGGGTCACTACTAAGCGTGTGACGAGTATTGCCAGAGGTATACTGGATGTGGTGTGCTGATTGCAGAATATCCGAGTTACTGACTTGGACAAACCTGGTAGACATTTCACCGAAGTGACCAGATTGAGACCAGCAACTCATTTCCCTCAAGAATCCCGACTGACTGGATTCGATCCCAGGATCTCAGCGGCATCATCTCAGTACTTGGAAATGAGCCACCCTGCCACATCAGAATGTGTTTTCATTGCTGAAATGATCAATTTGTACATGACTAAACCAGCCATCATGAGGTTGCTTATTTACTGACTTTGTGATTTTCTTCTCTCTGTATTTTTGTTGGCTTTGTGTTATTTTGGTTTTGCTAAATAATACTGCTAGTGACACTCCACACAAACAAATGTAAACATTCATGACAATGTGTGCAGACTCAGACAGTGGTTTTACTTTGCGATTGATTTACCTGCAAAATTCTTCTCTGGTTTATACGTTACTCTACTTGATATTTCTTCATTTTGGAATTGAATATACTGCAATAAAGCTAAGGGTATGACAATTCCCATGTCTGTCAGTTCTATAGCATCCATGATCAACTGATTTAGATGGCACTTGTACCAAAGAGTATGTGAGGCCACTATAGTTCCCCAGTTTTAGATGGTCAAAAATGCCACCTTGAAACAAATGAGCCATTTGGGCCCCCATAATATGGGGGAGGGGATAAATGAACTTTCACTTCCAGAATAGTTAAAAGCTGAAATTTGGCACAAAAAAACAATATCGTTGAATCAATTCCTATAACCAGTGACATTAAAAACTAATTTTCAAATGTACATAACGACTATTGTCGAGCAAATACCATAGATACAATCCATTATATTATAACTGCTACAGTATATACATACTGTATTAGAGAAGCTTTATGGTGGTGGAAATGGCGTTGGAGGGGTAGACAACCCAGCAAACATTGAACATTTAGCCTATGCTAGTCCGATGGTTTCCAATTGCATGGCAACGTTTACTCAAAGTTGCACATTTGGGCAATAATTTACACAGTACAAGTAAACTTTGTTTTGATCAGTTTTGCACACACGCACTTTCTCTTCGCCAGCGTGAGCAATTCCAGTAAATGATGACAAAAAAAAGTGCCACATGTGCGAAATCCTCTTTAAATATTAATATTAAAAAAGTGACCGCTATGTAACCCGCCCCTGCCACTGCCCCGGAAGGAGAAAGGGGGGGGGGGCCCTGTTGTGTCCGGACGTGCACACAAACAAGTGCACCGTGTGTCGCTGTTGTACCGCATCAGCCGGTGGCTTTATAATACACAACGAGCTACTCGCTCGCTCTCTCTCTCTCTCGCACGTCGCCTGCGTCTCGCTCGAGAAGTTGGGGCCAGGTTTGTAAAGAGCGAAGGCAGTCAAGTTGAAGGACGTCCGAGCCGATCCGAGATGATTCCGAGCGCTCGTGCCGTGCTGCTGTGCGTGGTGGCGTCGGTGGTGGTGGTGTCGGTGGTGCGGGGAGAGAGAATGGTGGGAGGCTTCCAGAAGCTGAACCGCAACAACGCAGAGGTGCAGGAGATCGTCGCCCAAGCCATGCAGAAGCTCAACGACGAATCGGATAGCCCCAACTGGCAGAAGGCCGACAGAGTTGTCAGAGCCAAGTCTCAGGTAGGGCAACGAGGAGTTGTTCCCCTCTCTCTGTGCTCTTCAATATCGCCAAGGCCGGTTGTGTGTGTGAGAATGTCTCTTTAAGAGAGGCACGTTTTCTCTTGTCGTTGTTTTCTCGTGGAGCCGTACAGATCACGCGTAATGGGTTACGTTGCTGTGCGAACAGCACGCATGGCTACGTATGGTGCGAAAGAAGTTTAACAGATGGTCACGTGTGGCGAGTTTAATGCGTCTTGAGCGAGCTGCCGCTGCTTCTTAACAGTTGTTTATGAAGAAACCACCACCGTCTAGTATTCACTTATAGCATTCACTTATAGTATTCACAACGTCTAGTATTCACTTATAGTGTTCACAACGTCTAGTATTCACTTATAGTATTCACTTATAGTATTCACTTATAGTATTCACAACGTATAGTATTCACTTATAGTATTCACTTATAGTGTTCACAACGTCTAGTATTCACTTATATTATTCACAACGTTCAGTATTCACTTATAGTATTCACATATAGTATTCACTTATAGTATGCACTTATAGTATTCACAACGTCTAGTATTCACTTATAGTATTCACATATAGTATTCACAACGTCTAGTATTCACTTATAGTATTCACAACGTCTAGTATTCACTTATAGTATTCACATAGAGTATTCACAACGTCTAGTATTCACTTATAGTATTCACAACGTCTAGTATTCACTTATAGTATTCACAACGTCTAGTATTCACTTATAGTATTTACAATGTCTAGTATTCACTTATAGTATTCACTTATAGTATTCACAACGTCTAGTATTCACTTATAGTATTCACATAGAGTATTCACAACGTCTAGTATTCACTTATAGTATTCACAACGTCTAGTATTCACGTCTAGTATTCACAACGTCTAGTATTCACAACGTCTAGTATTCACAACGTCTAGTATTCACTTATAGTATTCACATAGAGTATTCACAACGTCTAGTATTCACTTATAGTATTCACAACGTCTAGTATTCACGTCTAGTATTCACAACGTCTAGTATTCACATATAGTATTCACAACGTCTAGTATTCACGTCTAGTATTCACAACGTCTAGTATTCACAACGTCTAGTATTCACTTATAGTATTCACAACGTATAGTATTCACTTATAGTATTCACAACGTATAGTATTCACTTATAGTATTCACAACGTGCATTGCGGCTCTTCATGTATTGAGTTGTTTTGTTTTTAAAGTGAATTAGAATTTTTTTGCTGTTTTGGTTTGCCCGAGCCCTGGTCTCGCGGAACAATGTTGTTGTGTTGTGATGGTGAACAATAGGAGGCGCTGTTGTGTTGTGATGGTGAACAATAGGAGGCGCTGTTGTGTTGTGATGGTGAACAATAGGAGGCGCTGTTGTGTTGTGATGGTGAACAATAGGAGGCGCTGTTGTGATGGTGAACAATAGGCACTGTTGTGATGGTGAACAATAGGCGCTGTTGTGATGGTGAACAATAGGAGGCGCTGTTGTGATGGTGAACAATAGGAGGCACTGTTGTGTTGTGATGGTGAACAATAGGAGGCGCTGTTCTGATGGTGAACAATAGGAGGCGCTTTTGATTTAAAGCTTTCGTGACTGCAGTAATTCATATTCTTAGTTCTTTCGGTAAAAGCACGTTGAAGGGAAACAATAAAATAATGAAATATATATAAAACAATAAAAAATTCTCACGACGTTTCGACCATAACACAAACGGTCGTCATCAGGTGTGGTCGAAACGTCGTGAGAATTGTTATTGTTTTATATATATATTTTATTATTTCCCTTCAACGTGACTTTACTGAAAGAGCTAAGAATAGGAGGCGCTGTTGTGTTGTGATGGTGAACAATAGGAGGCGCTGTTGTGATGGTAAACAATAGGAGGCGCTGTTGTGATGGTAAACAATAGGAGGCGCTGTTGTGATGGTAAACAATAGGAGACGACTGTTTGTGTTATGGTCGAAACGTCGTGAGAATTTTTATTGTTTTATATATATATTTTTTTATTATTTTATTGTTTCCCTTCAACGTGACTTTACCGAAAGAACTAAGATTATAATAGGAGGCGCTGTTGTGTTGTGATGCTTCTGCAGTGCTCTGCAGTAATTCTGCTTCGTGTATTTTAAACTTGTGATGTTGGCTCTGATATTTTAGTTTCTACCTGTGTGTTTGTCTCTTATGTGTGCATTTTATTCAGATTGTCAGTGGCGTACGTTACTTAATCACAGTGAAGCTGAGAGAAACTTACTGCCCCAAATCTCAGAGCCCTGACAACTGCTCCACGTACAACTCGGTCAACGCTGGCAAGGTAATCATCAGTGGAGCAATCTACATTTAATGAACGTGGGATTCAGTAGCACCGTACATATTCACTGCCAAAGTGTTTTTGTAAACATCAATATTAAAAATACACAAATACACATTTATCACTCATAAACGTGATTTTTTTTTACAGCTTAAGTATAGGAATACGAATACATTAACGACATAAAAAGATACATTCACTAAAATATGTATTTTAATAAATAGCACCAGAGTACTAGTCAAGCCACAGTTGGATGAAGGCCATGCATTGTCAGTTACGAATGTTGTTTGGCCTTGCTTCACCACTGGTCAGTGCCAGTTGGTAAATGTGACCCCAAAACCAGTTCAGATGTCACGTGCCACTGATGTTAGCCACAGACAGGAATAAAAATCAGGTTGCTGGGCTTATATATAGCATATTTATTTTAACACTTCACCTCAAGTCCACCTCAGCAGTAGACTGCACAATGTTATATTATTGTGCACAGAATGGAAGGGTAACATTTAATGACGGCAGTAAAAAAGCAACTAAAATGGGAAGGGAATTATGCACCAGATTTATGTTAAATATTCGGAGTATTGCAATTATTCACAACAAAAGGTAAAGATTCAGCCCTGCAACTTCTTGCTTATGCCATTGCTGGTGAATGTGCCTCTACTGGAGAAAGCTCTAGAGAACTCCCCGAGAGTATTTTTGGCCTACTCTTCCACACCCGTCCTGCCCATTTACGAACTGTGGTGCACCCATTTATATTGCTGGGTGGTCAGAGGTGAGGGGGATGCAAGCAACTTTCACTTTTTTAAAAACTGCTGCGCTGGGATATTGTTGGATTGCAAGTCCACTGTGCTAACCATTACACCAGGTCAGCATCCTGGGCAGAACAAATTTCATTCAACATATGCAGGTATTCATGTTGCATTTGCCATCCGTGGTTAAAACTCGTTTGTTTTTTGCGTGTCCCAGTCTCTGGTCTGTGAACTGGACATCTGGAGCCAACCCTGGATGGATTTTCTGAGAGTTCTCAAGAAATGCCCTCAGTGAAGAATGTGGCATCCATCCTATGTAAATCACGAAACCGCTTGACCTCGTAACAATGTGTGGTCTTTGTAGTTCTAAATGATTCGTAAAGCTGGTCTATACCCTCAGTTCTGTTCCCATCTTATCCTTGTTTCCTGAAAATGATCTGTCACCCAACTCACTTAGAGCTATCTTCTTAATACAAACACAAGCATTGCAAGCATATATCTAACATGGTGTTGTGTAACTGTATTTTGCTAAAATACTATAATTTGCATGCATTTTGCTCCGTTCTTAGGCAGTATTTTACACTAATAATTCTGAATTTGAAATAAAATGTTGATCTTATTTTTCTGTTCGAGTAATATTTTTTGGTACAGTTTGTTAAAGGGTCACAAATACAGTGAGACTTATCATCCATTGCCCTCACATCCATCCATGACTTCCAATTCCAAGCGTCCGGCCAATCAAATTTTCTCCCAGTATCAAGGATTGACATGGCTAAACTAACGATAAACTAAACCTTTTATTTAACCAGGTAAGGCCAGGTAAGGCCCACAGCCATATAGATCTTTTTCAGAAGCAACCTGGCCACAAATGACCACTCAACAAAGTGGCTTATCGCATGGAATTGTATAGCAGCCAAATGCTCTAAACGGATCTTTCTAAATGTGGAGGGAAAAAAACAGGAAAATCCACGTGACCGTGAAGAGAACATGCAAACTCCAAATATAAAGGTGTCAGGATTGAACCTACGACCTCTGGTATACCAGACGAGGTAGTTAACTTCTTGCCAACATTACATTACAGGAACCGCGGTTTGAAGGTGAGAAGAGAGGAGGAAGGGGAGAGTCAAAGATGAGTGGGGGAGTGAGTGAAGGATTGACCACCGATACCCAGTCAACACGGAACATCGGGCCAATGTTGGATCAACGCCGCAAGTTTACTGGGCAATGAGCCGCAGTGGGCATGGGGTGCGGAGGAGGCCAGGTCAGCCGAGCGAAGCGGACGAGTGAGTCTATGCTGTCTCATATCTGTCAACCCCTTATCAGTGCTACCTACAGTGAGGGAAAAAAGTATTTGATCCCCTGCTGATTTTGTACGTTTGCCGACTGACAAAGAAATGATCAGTCTATAATTTTAATGTTAGGTTTATTTGAATAGTGAGAGACAATAACAACAAAAAATCCGGAAAAACGCATGTCAAAAATGTTATAAATTGATTTGCATTTTAATGAGGGCAATAAGTATTTGACCCCCTCTCAATCAGAAAGATTTCTGGCTCCCAGGTGTCTTTTATACAGGTAACGAGCTGAGATTAAGAGCACACTCTTAAAGGGAGTGCTCCTAATCTCAGCTTGTTACCGGTATAAAAGACACCTGTCCACAGAAGCAATCAATCAGATTCCAAACTCTCCACCATGGCCAAGACCAAAGAGCTCTCCAAGGATGTCGGGGACAAGATTGTAGACCTACACAAGGCTGGATTGGGCTACAAGACCTTTGCCAAGCAGCTTGGTGAGAAGGTGACAACATTCTTAGTTCTTTCGGTAAAGTCACGTTGAAGGGAAACAACAAAATAATAAAATATATTGTTGTTTCCCTTCAACGTGACTTTACCGAAATAACTAAGAATATTAATTACTGCAGTCACGAAAGCTTTAAATCAAAATTTAAGGTTACAACAGTTGGTGCGATTATTCGCAAATGGAAGAAACACAAAAGAACTGTCAATCTCCCTCGGCCTGGGGCTCCATGCAAGATCTCACCTCGTGGAGTTGCAATGATCATGAGAACGGTGAGGAATCAGCCCAGAACTACACGGGAGGATCTTGTCAATGATCTCAAGGCAGCTGGGACCATAGTCACCAAGAAAACAATTGGTAACACACTACGCCGTGAAGGACTGAAATCCTGCAGCGCCCGCAAGGTCCCCCTGCTCAAGAAAGCACATATATATGCCCGTCTGAAGTTTGCCAATGAACATCTGAATGATTCAGAGGACAACTGGGTGAAAGTGTTGTGGTCAGATGAGACCAAAATGGAGCTCTTTGGCATCAACTCAACTCGCCTTATTTGGAGAAGGAGGAATGCTGCCTATGACCCCAAGAACACCATCCCCACCGTCAAACATGGAGTTGGAAACATTATGCTTTGGGGGTGTTTTTCTGCTAAGGGGACAAGACAACTTCACCGCATCAAAGGGACGATGGACGGGGCCATGTACCGTCAAATCTTGGGTGAGAACCTCCTTCCCTCAGCCAGGGCATTGAAAATGGGTCGTGGATGGGTATTCCAGCATGGCAATGACCCATAACACACCGCCAAGGCAACAAAGGAGTGGCTCAAGAAGAAGCACATTAAGGTCCTGGAGTGGCCTAGCCAGTCTCCATACCTTAATCCCATAGAAAATCTGTGGAGGGAGCTGAAGGTTCGAGTTGCCAAACGTCAGCCTTGAAACCTTAATGACTTGGAGAAGATCTGCAAAGAGCAGTGGGACAAATTCCCTCCTGAGATGTGTGCAAATCTGGTGGCCAAATACAAGAAACGTCTGACCTCTGTGATTGCCAACAAGGGTTTTGCCACCAAGTACTAAGTCATGTTTTGCAGAGGGGTCAAATACTTATTTCCCTCATTAAAATGCAAATGAATTTATAACATTTTTGACATGCGTTTTTACGGATTTTGTTGTTGTTATTCTGTCTCTCACTGTTCAAATAAACCTACCATTAAAATTATAGACTGATCATTTTTTTGTCAGTGGGCAAACGTACTAAATCAGCAGGGGATCAAATACTTTTTTCCCTCACTGTACCTTACTACAGGCCAATTCAGACCTTATTGGTCACCCCGTGCCCCTATAAATCTCAACGTTCATCCTACAAAGTCCCATCACAAGGGAGAAACACAAACAGACATTTTATTTTGCCCGTATTGAAACGGCTGTCCGCCTTATGGACCTGAAAGACTCAATTATCCTGTACAAGAATACGGTCTAAACCGTGTGGGTTGACATTTACGTGGTTGGTGCAAGTGGCTGGAATACTTTCCTTTAAAAGCCTGGCCGTATCCGTTGCACAGCTTCACTCCGCTCTGCACCTGCTTGAGAGAAGAAGCGTCATCTGTGATGCGAGTGTTGCCGCTGCTGTGCCTGATGGCAGGTGAGCTGCCCGCCTTTGGCGGCGCGATGACGGGCGGCCCTCGTCCCGCACGACCCCGACAGCTCGGAGGTACACGGCCATCGTGGACCATGCCATGGCAAAGATCAGCCAAGGATCCAGCAAAGCTGACTGGATCAAGGCCGATGACATTGCGAAGGCGCATTCGCAGGTGTGTTCGCATGAAGCTGGGCTCTTTCAAAATTTACACAAAGCATTTGAATGCGTTTTTTAAAGTGATAACGGTGTATGTTATACATATGTGTATATATGCATACACCATGAACAAATAATGGTATGTACAGGATAACCCCTCCTATGTTAACCGCCTTATACTTTCTGTTTTCTGTGATTATCCACAATTATTTATTTGCGGATAAGTAAAACCTCGGATAATAGAATTCGCGATATTGGTTCCACACATCACCACGGATAAGTGGAATTCTCCTGCACCATGTTTTTGGTAAGATAGGGAAGTGCTGAACTCTCCAATTGTTGTATTGTACTGCTGTGCTCCAACATCTGTGCTTGCCGCTTTACCAACAACCTGCACTGTCCTGCGTGGTGCATTATGGGACTTTAACCACCAGCATCACGCACTTGGCACTGGGAGGCCTTCATCCACCAGTGGATTGACACAAGAGCTGTACATGGACATGAATACTGATTCATGTTTACATTTATTCTGCTTTAATCAAGACTCTATTTATGTATTGATGTGTTGCAGTAGTCAAAATGTGTACCCGCATTTTTACAAGGCAATTTTGGTTCATTTAAGATAAATGCTCAAACTTAAGAGTGATATTTTCCACGTCAAGCATTCACAGTTTTTACCCACTTTATTATCAACCCATCTCACGTTTCAATTAATTAATGATTTATTTAACACGTGGACAATAGCTCTGCACATTCAGTGAAAATTAAGCTACTCATACTTGTGATTGTCTGTGTGCGCGCACGCACGTCCAAAAGGGCTAGGTTTATGTATTTGCCATCAAGTCGTCAGAGGCGTTCGCTACCTGGTCACGGTATCCATGAGAGAGACCGACTGCCCCAAAAGAGAAGACCGTAGAGAAATGCATAACCTACAATGACGTGTCCCATGGCAAGGTGATGGTAAACAATAAGAGTGGTGTGAACCCAGATTTTTTTCTGGTGAAGTATTTTCAAATACTACTCAGAGCATGCACGCTGTGGAGAGAACCTCATCCACCAGTTGATTGATAAACGTGCTGTACGTGTACGTCTGTACACATTACATAAATGCATGGAGATAGCTCATAATTTGCAAAGTTTTCCATTTCTGCAAATCGTGTTTAATCCCTGCAAAGCTGCACCACCTGCAATGTAAAGTTCGCCAGCCTAAGCTGCTTGTACATTTAACGTAAGAGCCATATTTATTGTTGCCGGCTGCCAAGTGCACACTCGACATCTGGAGCCAGCCCTGGGTGGAATTCTTGAAGATCAACGCAATTTCCTGCGTCTATCAAGCAACAACCTGTGGCAAATACACCGCACACTAACCGTAGTGAATCATGCACTCACATTTCACACCACTGCTTCACACCATACAGAAGTCTGAGCCAAAGAACATGCAATCCTCACGCCTAGACAAAGGCCCTTCATATAATCCTCTGAGGTGTTAAGCGATGCCAAAAGCTTGCCCGGTTGACTTCGTCTCCACTTTGCTGACGCTCTCAACACGGAATGAGCTACTCCGTGTACAGCTAAGTTGAGCGCGGGGAAGGCCCAGGACAAGTTCAGATACCATCCATCGCTGGGAATCAGACCCAGGATGCTGGGTTTATACAACAGTGTGCTAAGCATTACACGACCATTTCTCTTCGCAGCAAAGACAACGATCGCCCATATATTCTGAAGAGACCGCTGGGGAAAGCTCCCTTTTCAACACACATCACTGCGACGCAGAACGACCAAAGCATTATGATAAAAGCATAAACTCAAAATCCTCTTTACAACAAATATGGATTGCGTAATATTCACTGACACCACTCACATGCTAATCACTTCGTAATTGTTCGCTTTTTTACCAATGACGAATTCAATATTTTTCAGTAACAAATAAATGTTAGTTGATCATGCGGATTGCGTCGTTGTTGTCTTTTTGTGGATGCTGGGCAGAGTGTAAAACACAACTTGTGTGTGGACAGTGTGTATTTACTGTACTGT